CAGGAACCGATGTGGACCCCATGTCACATCGCCTGCGTCATTCCTTGTACCACGACTTAACTCTATACCTCCCATACACAGAACAAAGATGATGACCTCTTGTGATCGCCGTAAACACAGACTGAACCGTGTAAACAGCGGAGTGACAATGTGGCGCTCCAGGCAGTGAACGTTTACAACTCATTGATCAAACCAGTCTAACAGAATTTCTGGTTTCCTTCTCTCACGCCCACGCGTCAACCTCGACTAGCCTTTAAATCCCAAAAAAAAATTTAAAAATTTAAAAACTTAATAAATTTTAAAAAAAATTAAGAATATCTTAGTAGACTAAGATACATGTAAAATGGAAAAATAAAACATATAAAGAAAAAACAATCCTGAACCTGCTCCAAGATTAACAATTAAAACAAAGATATAGTAAAAGTGAAAGAACCAGCAAGAAAAAAATGGGCGGGGGTTGGGGTGGACAAAACCAGTCAAGTTTTCAATTAGAAAATTTTAATATTTACTCTTTTTTCTCAGATGGAACGACAGACAAGCATGCCAAAAGTATTATAAGTAGGATTAAAGATATTGAACAGCATACATGTAAACCGAGCTTGATTTTAAAGGCACATAAGAATGCTTCTGCATCCGTTATCATATTATAAGAATGGCATATTATTTCTTTCCTTTTTTTTTTTTTTTTTTTATGAGACGGAGTCCTTGCTCTGTCGCCCAGGCTAGGAGTGCAGTGGCCGGATCTCAGGCCACTGCAAGCTCCGCCTCCCAGGTTCATGCATTCCTGCCTCACCTCCTGAGTAGCCTGTACTTTACAGGCGCCTGCCACTTCGCTCCCGGGGCTAGTTTTGTACATTTTTTAGTAGAGAACCGGGTTGCACCAGGTTACCCAAGATGGCCAATACCTGACCTCCGTGATCCGCGTCCTCCCAGCATTTCCCCATAAGCTGGATTGACAGAGGCTGAGCCCTGCGGCTGCCGCCCAGAGTGCAATATTATTTTTCAAGCACAACGTCAGACTTTGATTAAAACTAGTTTCTGGCCGGGCGCTGGTGGCTCACGCCTGAATGGTCCCAGCACTGTCGGAGCGACCGGGAGGATCGCAAGGCCAGGAAAAATGCGAGACCACCTGGTTAACACAGGAAACCCCCATCTCTACTAAAACTATAAAAATAGCCCGAATGTTTAGGACATGCGCCCTGTTAGTTCCAAACTGCGGGAGGCGCGACAGGAAAAGCGTAACCCATGGAGCCAGAGCTTGCAGCGGGACCGAGATCGAACACCCACGCACTCCAGCCAGGGTGACGCAGCGAGACTCCATCTCAAAAAAAAAAAAAAACACCAAAATGCCTGTTTGTAAGAGTCTAACATTCAAGCCTTTTTTTGTGTTTTTAAGAGAAGGATCTTGCTCTGCAACCCCCAGGCTGAGGTACAGTGGAGTGATCATAGCTCACTGCAGCCCCACTCCTGGCCCAAAGCAATCCTCCCACACAGCTCCGGGTACTCAGGGTACAGGCGCATGGAGTCCACCCACTCATTCTTAAATACAAGAGAACCAATCCTATATGCCAAATTCTGATGGGATTAAATTAGAATCAGTAAAATTAAGCAATCACCAAATACATTTGCAAATTAAAAAGGAATAGTTAATAATTTGGTTCTCCAGAAGTCTTCAGCCTAAAACACTGACAGTTCTTCCTGATTACGTTGCTGATAAAACACTTACAGTTTCTTCCAGGAAGAACTATAAGTGTTTTATACAGGACAGATAATATAGGAAGAACTGTAAGTGTTTTATACAGAACAGATAATACAGGAAGAACTGTCAGTGTTTTAGGCTGAAGACTTCTGGAAACCAAATTATTACTAATTCCTTTTAATTTGCAAATATATTGGTGATTGCTATAATTTTACTGATTACTAATTTAATCCTATCAGAATTTGGCATATAAGAGATTGGTTCTTTGATATTTAAGAATCGAGTGGTGGCTCATGCCTGTACCCTGAGCTACCCAGGAGGCTGATGTGGGAGGATTGCTTGAGGCCAGGAGTTGGAGGCTGCAGTGAGCTATGATCACTCCACTGTACCTCAGCCTGGGTGACAGAGCAAGATCCTATCTCTTAAAAAACAAACAAAAAACAGGCTTGAATGTTAGACTCTTACAGAACTAGATTTTTGGTTGTTTTTTTTTTTTTTTTGAGATGGGTCTCGCTGGGTCACCCTGGCTGGAGTGCAGTGGTGTGATCCGTCGGTTCACCTGCAAGGCTCTGCCTCCTGGGTTCACGCCATTCCCTCCTGCGCAGCCTCCCCCAGCAGTTGGGACTACAGGCGCATGTCGCCACACCCGGCTAATTTTTATTAGTTTTAGTAGAGATGGGGGTTTTCACTGTGTTAACCAGGTTGGGTCCTCGATCTCCTGACCTTGTGATCCTCGCCCGCTCGGCCTCCGAAGTGCTGGGATTACAGGCCGTGAGCCACCGCGCCCGGCCAGAATAGTTTTTATAAAAGTCTGACGTGTGCTTGAAAATAATATGCACTCTGGCCGGGGGCGGTGGCTCAAGCCTGTAATCCCAGCACTTTGGGATGCTGAGGCGGGCGGATCACGGGGTCAGGATATCGAGACCATCTTGGCTAACACGGGAAACCCCGTCTCTACTTAAAAAATGTATCAAAAAACTAGGCCGGGCGAAGTGGCAGGCGCCTGTAGGGTACCAGCTACTCAGGAGGCTGAGGCAGGAGAATGGCATAGAACCTGGGAGGCGGGAGCTTGCAGTGAGCTGAGATCGCGGCCACTGCACTCCAGCCTGGGCGACAGAGCAAGACTCCGTCTCAAAAAAAAAAAAAAAAAAAAAAAGGAAAAGAAAATAATATGCATTCTTTAATTGTAGGATGCAGCATTCTCTATGTGCATTAAATCAAGCTTGTTCATTATGCTGTTCAAATCTTACATATTCTTATTAACTTTTGGACTGCTTGATCTGTCAGTTTCTGAGAGGTATATTAAAATTTTTCATTGATTATGGTTTTGTCCATTTTTCTTGCTGGTTCTGTCACTTTTACATTATATACTTTGTTTTAATTGTTAAATCTGGACAGGCTCAGGATTGTTTTTTCTATTAATATGTTTCATTTTTCATTTTACATGTAATCTTAGTCTACTAAGATATTTTAATTTTTTTAAAATTTATAAAGTTTTTAAAATTTTTAAATTTTTTTTTTTGAATTTTAAGGCTAGTCAGGTGAAGCAGTGGGAGTGAAGAAGGAACAAAGAAATCTGTAACTGGTTTTGATGAGTTGTAAACGTCACTGCACCTGGACCAGCCAATTCGTCCACTCGCTTTTAACGGTTCAGTGATGTTTACGCGATCACGGGTTATCTTTGTTCTGTTGGGAGGTATAGAGTTAAGTCTTGGGTACAGGGGAATGACTGCAGGCGTGAACATGGGGTCCACATTCGGAGTCTCCAGATTAGAGCAGCCATCAACTAGGAGTCGGATAAGGAAAAACGTGGTATGAAAGCTAAGTAGTACTTTGTCCCATTTCTGTTTGTTTGTTTGTTTGTTTTGAGACAGAGTCTCACTCTGTCGCCCAGGCTGGAGCGCAGTGAGACCGTCTCAGCTCACTGAAACCTCTGCCTCCCAAGTTCAAGTGATTCTCCTGCCTCAGCCTCCCGAGTAGCTGAGATTACAGGCATGCGCCACCAGGCCTGGCACATTTTTACGTTTTTGGTAGAGACAGGGTTTCACCATGTTGGCCAAGCTGGTCTCGAACTCCTGACCTCAAATGATCCACCCACCTCAGACTCCCAAAGTTCTGGGATTACAGGCAGTGAGCTACTGTGCCTGGCTGTCACAGTTCTTTATCTTGTTTTTAGTCCTGGTGTTTAGTTTATTTAGAATTTCAAATAGTATCGCTGTTGACATGAGAGAGTTTGTTCATTTTTGGAAATGGATTTTAAAAGGCTGAGAAACACTGTTTTAGGGCTAAAACCATTTAGAGAGAAAAAGAAGAAAAAAAACCTCATTTTTTTCTTTCCAAGGTTTTTATTTAGAAAAGAGTGACACTGCTAAGGAAAATATTTCTAAGCCAAGAACAAACATATTTAAAGCATTAGGAATAAAACTGAAGTATTTATATTTAAGGGGCATTTTCTAATAGAACTTAAAATGTTTTCAAAATGGTCATCCAGCCGAGTGGTTTTCAGCCTGGCACAATCCTGCCTTTACTGCCTGAGAACATTTGTCAACATCTGTGGACATTTTTTTTTTTTTTTCTTTGAGACAGAGTCTTGTTCTGTTGTCCAGGGTGGAGTGCAGTGGTGCAATCTCAGCTCACTGCAACCTCTGCCTCCTGGGTTCAAGCGATTCCCATGTCTCAGCCTCCCAAGTAGCTGGGATTACAGGTGTGCACCACCACGCCTGGCTAGTTTTGTATTTTTAGTAGAGACAGGTTTTCACCATGTTAGCCGGGCTAATCTCAAACCGCTGGCACCAAGTGATCCACCTGCCTTGGCCTCCGAAAGCGCTGGGATGACAGTTGTGAGGCACCACATGTGGCCAGCATCTGTAGACATTTCTAATTGTCTTAAGTTCAGAGGATGCTGCCGAACATTGTACCCACAACAAAGAATTTATCCTGTCCAAAATGTCAGTGGCACCACCGTTGAGAAACCTTGCTCTAAGCCAGCCTCAGCAAGGAGACAGAAGTTCTGCAGTCCTGGGCAGTGGCCAGTGGGAATCCCATGGAGGAACCGGGTGTTCCAGCCCGGGCGTTCCCTGTCCTCTGTGTCCACACACACAGTACCTATGTGGGTGTTCCAGCCTTGGCGTTCCCCAGCCTCTGTGTCCACACACACGGTACCTCTGTGGATGCTCCAGCCCGGGGCGTTCCCCAGCCTCTGTGTCCACACACACAGTACCTCTGTGGGTGCTCCAGCCCGGGGCGTTCCCCAGCCTCTGTGTCCACACACACAGTACCTCTGTGGGTGCTCCAGCCCGGGGCGTTCCCTGTCCTCTGTGTCCACACACACAGTACCTATGTGGGTGCTCCAGCCCGGGCGTTCCCCAGCCTCTGTGTCCACACACACAGTACCTCTGTGGGTGCTCCAGCCCGGGCGTTCTCTAGGGTCTGTGTCCACATGCAGAAAGTACCTTTGTGGACTTAAATGATACTTACTGTCTGGTGCGGACCTACTGTCTGGTGAGGGCTTGCCAGTCCCAGGGTGGCGGAAAGAGCAGGTGTTGTGCAGTGTGCAGCGTGACCGCATTTCGATGCAAACAGAAGAATCAGCATGCCCGTTTTCTTCTAGGAAACTGTTTACTGCAGCGGGCAGCTGGAGCAGGAAACGAGGCAGCAGCTCTTTTCCTGGCAACCAACGGTGCCCATGTCAACCACAGAAACAAGTGGGTAAGTGTGACTGGGCAGCTGGAGAAAATGGTGTTATCTATGGAAGAAATGGCACTGGTGGATATGTAGGAAAAAGGGGAATAGGTGTTTTTTTTTTCAGTTTTTATCAGAATAATACATGCATACGGTTAAAAAGCCAGAGTGAAACAGATTATGTTTCCTCAAATATTGGTTGATTGATTAATTTAGCAAAACCATTTCCTAAGCATTTGCTTAGGAAACAGTGCTTGTTCGGGTTATCAGGCCCTGAACTAGATACCATGGACTTTAATAGAGGTTAATAAACGCATGCACAAACCTACCATTTGCTTGGGTTTTCCTATGTGGATTGTCTTTTATGAGTCTATATCGCATGCTAACAAGGCAGAATGTATGGTGTTATGAATAAAAGTGTTACCTTTGGGGTTGGACGTTACCGAGTTTACCAGCTTTCCCATTTCCTCCCTATGCAGTCTTTTTTTTTTTTTTTTTTTTTTGAGACAGAGTTTTGCTCTCGTTGCCCAGGGCGGAGTGCAATGGTGCAATCTCGGCTCATCACAACCTCCGCCTCCCAGGTTCAAGCAATTCTCCTGCCTCAGCCTCCAGAATAGCTGGGATTACAGGGATGCGCCATCATGCCCGGCTAAGTTTTGTTTGTTTGTTTGTTTTTTCAGTAGAGATGGGGTTTCTCCATGTTGGTCAGGCTGGTCTCGAACTCACAACCTCAGGTGATTCGCCCACCTCGGCCTCCCAAAGTACTGGTATCACGGGCATGAGCCACTGCGCCCAGGTCTATGTGGTCTTAATTTTAAGTTTCCTCATCTATAAAATGAGGTTAATACGGATTTCATAGGGTGTGGTTAAGATGAAAGTAAATGATATAATTAAGTGCTTATTAGTATAATAACTGAGACATTAAGTACTATTTGGTAGTTATTTTTACTTTATTATTTTCAGACCAGAAGGATATGCTTGTCTTCAAGATCACATTTATTTTACGGTCACTTTGTGCTAGCAGCTTTAAGGCTATTACCCCTTTTAATTTTCACAGTGGACCTGGAAGCAGCATGTATTATTAGGATTGAAGAAGCCTTTCCCACATCAATCTCTCGGAGTCAATGACCTTGGGGTTCTGGGAGGTTAGGTGGCTTATAAATAATACCTGTGTGGATGCTCCAGCCTGGGGCGTTCCCCAGCCTCTGTCCACACACACAGTACCTATGTACTATTATAAATAATGAGGTGTCCGTATTAAGACTCCGGCACGGCCGGGCGTGGTGGCTTAAGCCTGTAATCCCAGCACTTTGGGAGGCCGAGACGGGTGGATCACGAGGTCAGGAGATCGAGACCATCCTGGCTAACACGGTGAACCCCTCCTCACTAAAAAAACAAAAAAAACAGCCCGCGGCGATGGGCGGCACGCCTTCGGTTCCAGCACTCCGAGGACTGAGGCACGAGGAAGGCGTGCAATTCGCAGGCCGCAGCCCTGCAAGTGAGCCGAGAAAATCAGCCACTGCCAACTCCAGCTGGCGACAGAGCGAGACTCCGTCTCAAAAAAAAAACAAAAAAGACTCACGCCACAAGGCTGTCTAGATGCACTGTCTCGACAGCACTGGGCAAGGCAGTGAACAATGAGCTCGGTATCTGAGCCAGACCAGCATATCTTGGTACAGGAGAGAGGGCAGTGCCATCCTTTCGAAACACTGCTGACTCCGCTGTGTGTCTGCACACGGCCAGAGTGACGGCATGGCCCAGCGCCCACTGCTGCTTGTTCTGGGCTCAACATCACAGCATCTCGTGCCCTCTCACCTTCTCCATGCCTCTGCTCTTGCCACTATGTATCACTGTCTCTTTCTTTCCTCCTGCATCATTAGCTTTGCCCACTGTTCATTTCTAATAGCATAGAGACATGCTCTACTATCTCCTAACTTAAAATCCTCTGCCGGGCACGGTGGCTCACACGTGTTATCCCAGCACTTTGGGAGGCTGAGGCGGGCGGATCATCTGAGGTCAGGACTTCGAGACCAGCCTGGCCAACATGGTGAGACCCCATCTTTACTAAAAATACAAAAATTAGCTGGACATGGTGGCTGGGGCCTGTAGTCCCAGTTACTCTGGAAGCTGAGGCAGAAGAATCGCTTGAACCTGGGAGGCGGAGGTTGCAGTGAGTGGAGACCGCGCCGTTGCACTGCAACCTGGGCAAAAGAGTAAGATTTTGTCTTGGAAAACAAAACAAAAAACAAAACAAAAAAACCTCCCTTAGGCCCACATTGTCTACCCGCTGTTGCTCCTTCTCTGAATACCCTTCATAGCAAAACTAGGTCAAACCCAAACTGTAGAGACACGGGAGGCCTAACTTGAAAGCCGTGGAGAGCAGCACTGCAGAAGGGCCTGGAACACTGGCTTCCGGTGTGTGGGCTTTATCCTGTGGGAACAGAAGAGCCATTAGAGGGTTTTGGGCAGACAAGTAGTACGATTCTTCCGGAGCTGAGAAAGCTGCCTGGGATGGCTGGCATGGTGGGTGTGCCGTGGAGCCCAGGCTGGAGCCAAGTGGGAATCATCTTGACAAGCGGTGACCTGTGCTGTCCTCTCACGCTGCATTGGGATCCAAAGGAACAGGTTCCGCAGGAATTGCAGAGTCAGTCTACCACACGCGTGCTTCAGGCTCCCAGGAGCGAGGGCGAGAGAACCGTTCCAGCTGCTGCAGTGCAGGGATGGCGTGTGGAATTCGGGGACTCGGAGGGGCCGCTTGGGAGGGTGGTGGGCATAAAAGGGGGATGCTGGGTGCAGTGTCCCCTGCTCAGGTGACGGGTGCGCTAACATCTAAGAAATCTCCACTCAAGAACTTATCTGTGGAACCAGAAACCACCGGTACCCCAAAGACACCGAAGGACGAACTTAAAAAAACAATTACTGTGGCGAACCCGTGAGAAAAGAGGAAGCTGGCCAGGAGGAGGAACCTGAGTAGGGGGAGTAAATTCCACTGTGATTTCTGAATTTCTCAACATTTAGGTAGGGATGTCTAACAGGCTGTGGGAAAATAAGATGCAAAAATGGGGCTGGAGGCCTGGGTTTGAGAGTCTCCTGCTTGTAGATAATGGCAGAAGCCGTGGAGTAGATCAGCACACCCAGGGAGAATGTGTAGGAAGAAGGTCTGGAACAGGAGACAGCCCTGAGGAAGGGGGGGGAGAGAAGGAGGAAGAGGAAGAGGAAATACTTGGGAGGGCTCACACTACAATTATGGTTCCCCTGTATGGGGAGGATTTGGGTGGGAAGCGTGCGCTCTGGGTCAAGGCGTAAAAGCACTCAATCCTTATCTGCCACGGTGGCGAGTCCCACAGATAATGTTCAAAGCTGGAAAATCAAGAGGCAGCAATAAAAACATATTAGCTAGAAATACGGAGATTTACAAAACCCAGCTGGAAGAGTTAAAAGTGACCCCTGCTGGGAAAGGATAATTTTTTGAGGGAAAAGGAGGAGGTAGGATCTTGCTTTTTTTTTTTTTTTTTTTTTTAAGGCTAGTCAAGTGAAGCAGTGGCTGTGAAGGAACAAATGAATCTGTAACTGGTTGTGATCAGTTAGTTGTAAACATCACTGCCAGGGATCTTGCTGTTTTTTACAGTAAGCCTTGGAGAGTTCTCGCCTCTCTAAGTGATGATGATGTGTAGCTCTGATGAGAGCAGGCGCCGTATGCAAGCACCGTACTGCAAGCAGAGTGGTGTGTTCTGTCCATTTCCACTTGTTTGGGTGGGAAAACGCCAGTGTGTGTGTATACATACGGACATACACATAGACATGCCGAAATGCTTAAGCATGTGCACACATGCATTTTCCTGGGAGTATTCTGTCAATGGAGAGAAACATGAAACTGGTAATAATGGTTCCAAATGTGAGAGGAAACTTCTTTTTAAATATTGCATCAGGTACCAGTAATACCCATTAAAAATAATTTTTAACTTTTAAAAGTAGGGGAAGGAGGTCTTGATCAGAGTTCAAGATGAGATTGGTGCGAGCAGGCCACAGAAACGGAGTGCAAGTGAGGAGCTGCGGAAGCAGCGACGGCCACTGTGTCGAGGCTGCTGATCGCCGGTGCCTCGCTCCCGCGTGGGGGCTGCGCGGCTCTCCCCCTTGCACTGTTTATTTTGGTGACACTTGTAGCTTGTTATTGTTCTGTCATAATAAGCATATATTATTTTTAGAATTAGAGTAAAAGAGTTATGAAGCAAAGCAAAGGGCGATTAAGGAGGACCTAGGAGGTGAAGTCAAGAAGCCAGCTTTCAGAAGGTGCTTGGGGAAGACACTGAAGAAACGAAGGGTGGAACCAGGCGCAGTACCTCACGCCTGTGACCCCAGCTATTTGGGAAGCTGAGGCAAGAGGACTGCTTGAGGCTTGAAGTTTGGGTCCAGCCTGGGCAACACAGCGAGACTCCGCCTCAAAAAAAAAAATAGGCCAGACGCGGTGGCTCACGCCTGTAATCCCAGCACTTTGGGAGGCTGAGGCGGGTGGATCAAAAGGTCAAGAGTTCGAGACCAGCCTGGCCAACATGGTGAAACCTGTCTGTATTAAAAATACAAAAATTAGCCGGGTGTGGTGGCGCATGCCTGTAATCCCAGCTACTTAGGAGGCTGAGGCAGGAGAATTGCGTGAACCCGGGAGGCAGAGGTTGCAGTGAGCCGAGATCTTGACACTGCACTCCAGCCTGGGCAACAGAGCGGGACTTATCTCCAAACAAAACCAAAAAAAGAAAGAAAAGATACTGAGAGCGATGATGGCTCAGGAGAAAAAGAGCAGAAATCAGGAGGGTCAGCTGGCGACAGGATGAGCCCAGGACCCGAGTTTTTTCTCTCAGGCTGCCATGCTCCCTTCATGAAGGGAATTCCTGTGAGTGCTCAGATTTCGGCCATTTGTTTCCATTCAGGGAGAAACCCCGTTGCACACAGCGTGTCGGCATGGCCTGGCCAACCTCACTGCAGAGCTCCTGCAGCAAGGTGCCAACCCAAACCTGCAGACGGAGGAAGCTCTGCCTTTGCCAAAGGAGGCTGCATCCCTGACCAGCTTGGCGGACAGCATCTATCTGCAGACACCACTCCACATGGCGATCGCCTATAACCATCCGGACGTGGTGTCTGTCATCCTGGAGCAGAAAGGTAAGTACGTGGGAATACTGTCCATCATTTTGACTTGGGGACAGCGGTTTAGGATCGTTGGTTACAGAGTTGATGTTTCTTCTGTTGGTGAGTTTCGTATAGCTAGTTTCTTACTCCCAAAAAATCCTCTCAGGTCAAACTAGAGAAGCATGTAGTCTGGCTCTTGACTGCTGCTTCCCTGTGTGTGTTTTCAGGATGGGGCCTGCCCATTTCACTTGTTAGGGTAAGTTGGTAGAACTTTTGATTCTGCCGTCTGTCTTACTTGAGTATTTCTCCAGGCCGTTTAGTGTAGGTCAAGCAAAGCTGTGCCTTGGTGTGAGCACTGTCTTGGAGAACCCTGCTGTGGCAGGCACCCCGTGAAAGAGGGGCCAGAGAGAGGGGCCAAGGGCAGCCCCTGCGGGACAGAAGGGCCGTTTCCCTCAGAAGGTCTTCCTCATGCCTTCTCTTTCCTGTCCTGAGGTTTATTTTGCTCTTGCCTCAATCCTTGTTAAGGACAGTGTTTTTTCAGCATTGTCTTTTTGGAGGGAGGTGGGGTTTCAGGTACTGTGTGCCCTTTTTTTGGTCCTCACAGAAGTTTTAAGACTGTAGGAGGAAAGTTTTAAGATTGTGTATTAGGAAACACCATCGGGGCGTTGTTCTAGTCTTTTTAGTGATCAAGTGTGTTTCCGTAGTGGAGTCCGTTTTCCTTATGTGAAGAGTCAGTGTTTTAAGCTCTTAAAAAAATTCATTTTCCCCATAAGTTTTGCTCCAAAATATCAGATTTCTGGGCTTCGAGTCCTGACAAGATTTATCTACTCTCTTTTTGTAGCATTCATCGTATTATACCCAACAGTTAGTTTGAAACTGAGTTCTTACTCTACTGAATGCTTTATATGGGATCCACAGATGGTGAACTCAAATATTCTTTTCTCTTTTAAAACATTCAGCCAATGCTCTTCATGCCACCAACAACTTGCAAATCATTCCGGACTTCAGCCTCAAAGATTCCCGAGACCAGACTGTGCTGGGCCTGGCATTATGGACTGGTAAGGCCGTGCCGGGGCCGCTCATGTCTGCAGACAGACAGCTGTCTGAAGCAGGGCTGGGCGGGAGAGAGGGAGCGAGAAAGAAAGAGGAGAGTGGGCTAATCATTTGGTTGTGAAATAACCTTTCTGTTTGAGTTAAGCCTGTTAGATCCAGTGGAAAACTGCTGGCTTTGAGAAGTTGAGAGGGTATGTCTGTTGTAGTAAGATGTTGAGGAAGCAGGAAACGCTGAGCGTGGATGAAATCGGGGCTTGTTTCTTTCCCAGGCATGCACACGATCGCAGCCCAGCTGCTGGGCTCTGGGGCCTCCATCAATGACACCATGTCGGATGGGCAGACCCTACTGCACATGGCCATACAGCGGCAGGACAGCAAGAGCGCACTGTTCCTCCTGGAGCACCAGGCAGATATAAATGTCAGGTAGGACGAAGCCGCACTCTCCACTGTAATACCAGGTAACAATTAATGGAGATGTCAAAAGCACAGCCTCGCTTGTAGAAGTGTTTTTGTTTCATATTAGATAGAGGAAGGGAAACAATAGCTCTAAAAACACACAAATGCAGTGTTGTCACAAAATCCTCAAAAGTCTTGATTGTAATGGAGAAAAGGACTGTCCTTTGCTCTTGTCTGAACCTTTCAGGACCAGTGCACAGTATTGCACAAGTCTCACTGTAAAAAAACAATCTAAAGTCAGGTTTTTTTTTTTCTTTGAGTCAGGAGCTCACTCTTGCCCAGGCTGGAGTGCAGTGGTGCAATCTCGGCTTACTGCGGCCTTCGCCTACTGGGTTCAAGCGTTTCTCGTGCCTCAGCCTCCCAAGTAGCTGGAATTACAGGTGCCCGCCACCACGCCTGGCTCATTTTTTGTGCTTTTAGTAGAAATGGGGTTTCACCACGTTGACCAGGCTGGTCTCGATCTCCTGACCTCGTGATCCGCCCACCTCGGCCTCCCATAGTGCTGGGATTACAGGCGTGAGCCACCGCGCCCGGCCTAAAATCAGTTTTTAACAAGGAATTTCAGTTACAATGAAGAACGTTCCAACAAATGAGCCACCAGTAAGGCTTGAGGGGGAAAAAGACATGACATGGAGTCCAATTGTTACTGTGGTGGTATTTTCAAAAGAACTCCCCTTGCTCTCCAGTGACTCTGAATGACTGAGTGGGGGAAGGAAGGGCTGTCAGCTGGGTTCTTGGGTGGCATTGTATTAAACTGCTCTAAAAAGTGACTGTCGTTCTCTAAGAATTCAACACGCTGGGGTGTTATCTTCGAGAGGCAATAAGATGACATGGTTATGTGTTCTAAAAAGGCAGAATGAACAGACACTGTTTTCACATGTCATTTCCCTGAGAAAATATTTCATGAATGTGAGTGAATATGATCAGGGGTACAGAAGATGCTGGGCTCTGGAATGCCCGGAAGGGCACCTTCTGTGCTTTGGCCTCAACTACAAATGTTGGTTTGGGTGTGCCTGCCCTAGCAGGACTCGGGACGGGGAGACGGCCCTCCAGCTGGCCATCAGAAACCAGCTTCCACTCGTGGTCGATGCCATATGCACCCGAGGAGCGGACATGTCTGTGCCAGACGAGAAGGGGAACCCCCCGCTGTGGCTGGCCCTGGCGAACAGTCTGGAGGACATCGCGTCTACTCTGGTAAGACAAGCACAGCCTTAGCCTCTGCTTACAGATGGGGAGACACTGTGTCAGGGGCGGAGCTGGTGCCTGCGTAGCTGTCACAGGAGCAGGAGATCTGCCAAGTAACATAGTGGGGCAAGGACAAGCAGTCGCAAGTCACGTTAAAGAAACTTGCAGTTCAACGTGGTCTCGGCCAACACTTTTGTTTTTAGGTTGTCTTCACCAAGAAAACCACCAAGCAGCGAGAGAATGGCGGCATTTCCTCAGGAGCCCTCACCTGGGCTTGGCTGATCTGCTGTGGGGTGTCCTCATTATCACCATAGTGATAATTTCCTCAGTCTTAGGTTTATCACCCTTGTTTGCCAGACAGGCCCCAAAAGTGGAGGCAAACCTGCACGCTCTGGTTCAGCTCTCCAAAGGGCCTGCAGTGTGGTATGAAGGCGTTACGCACCTGGGGATTTTAGCTAGTTGTTGAGCTTACCTGTTAGTTACAGGTGTGTTACTGAGGACTGCTTGGTGTACACTGACACTTTGTTTTCTGTCCCTTCTAGAACTCAGCTCTAAAGGACACAAATTAAACGTAACTTGTTGATACTTCCCAAGTCTGTCCCACAGGACCTAGTGCAAGAACTTGCACACAGCAAATTTTAATTAGCGTTCGTAAAACTAATGAGTGATACAGATTAAAGCAATTATCATTTAATTAACTGTATCTTATCCGAAAATGGATTTAATGCTATACATAGAGCTCAGACTTGGTAGTAAAACTGTTTGCCTTTGCTCAGCAGTGTTTGTGAATACGTTTTTCTGCAGGTCAGACATGGCTGTGATGCCACGTGCTGGGGTCCAGGACCTGGTGGATGCCTTCAGACGCTCCTGCACAGAGCCATTGACGAAAACAACGAGCCCACCGCCTGCTTTCTCATCCGCAGGTCAGAGTCCCCAGTATCTCTCCAAACCGTTTTAGTGCGCTTGTTGCAAACTGGCTCTTTCCTTTTTAAATCCATCTACAGTCTTGGCATACCAGTAGCCGGCTTGACTTTCGCAGTTAAGGTTATCAGAGAGTCACTGTTCTGTCATGTCAAGTCAGCCAGGAGCCAGGCTCCCTTGTGACAGGAAGAGCTCACAGGCCTGGGTCAAAGAAGCTGAAAGCTTAAGTCAGCGTCCTGCTTTGGGAGCTGCCTGAGCTCCTGTAGTCATGGCGGACCAGTTCAGACCGTGAAGCAGGAGGCTACAGCTGGGGAGACCAGATGGTCTCTGCAGGACCCCACCACGGTGTGTGAGTCCTAACAGACTCTGTGGCCCCCTCGGAGTATGGGATGTGTGGGAGCCAAGGTTATTCAGGAAGCCTTTACAGCAGTGGTTTTCAAACTTTATGGTTTTCTTTTGTTTTTTTTTTTGAGACAAGAGTCTTGCTTTGTCACCCAGGCTGGAGTGCAGTGGCGCCATCTCGGCTCACTGCACGCTCCGCCTCCCAGGTTCACGCCTACCTCCTGCCTCAGCGCTGGGACTACAGGCGCCTGCCACCACACCTGGCTAATTTTTTTTTAATATTTTTAGTAGAGACGGGGTTTCACCTTGTTAGCCAGGATGGTCTCAATCTCCTAACCTTGTGATCCACCCGACTCAGCCTCCCAAAGTATTGGGATTACAGGCGTGAGCCACCACGCCTGGCTCAAACTTTATGGTTTTCAAACTTTCTTTTTGTATTTTCTATTTTTATTTTTGAGATGAAGTCCCACTCTGTTACCCAGGCTGGAGTACAGTGGCGCGATCTCAGCTCACTGCCACCTCCACCTCCTGGGTTCAAGTAATTCTCCTGCCTCAGCTTCCTGCATAGCTGGGATGACAGGCGTGCACCACCGTGCCCAGCTAATTTTTATGTTTTTAGTAGAGAGGGGGTTTCGTCATGTTGACCAGGCTGGACGTGAACTCCTGACCTGAGTTGATCCACCCGCCTCGGCCTCCCAAAGTGTGGGATTAGAGGCATGAGCCACTGCGTCCAGCTTGTTCTCAGACTTTAAATGTATGCATATCCCCCTGGGGAGTTTCTAACAATTCTGATGCCCGGGTTGCCCACCCCCAAGACCAGTCACAGAAGAATCTATGAGAGTGGAACCCCGACTCTGGTATTTGAGGCCAGGGACTAAGGACTCAGACCCGGCCACAGCAGACGTTGTTGGGTTGGATGAGGCTGCTGCTCTACATTTGTGATCAGCATGCCTGGAGGCCGGGTCCAAGCGCGGTGTGTTTTACATTTCCCCATTCCCTTCAGTGGCTGTGACGTGAATAGTCCCAGACAACCAGGCACTAACGGGGAAGGAGAGGAAGAGGCTAGAGATGGGCAGACCCCTTTGCACTTGGCAGCCTCTTGGGGGCTGGAAGAGACGGTACAGTGTCTTCTGGAGTTTGGTGCCAACGTGAATGCACAGGTACGTCGCTTCTGTTTTCCAGGGAGAGAGATGTGGCTCCGGCATGAGGGAAACCTCCTCCTATGGCAAAGGACCTTGCACAGTGCCCAGTTCCAGGCGCTGCTTCTTCATGAACACACGGCCTCCCTTGCAATGTTCATGATTTCAGGCTGACTTTGCTTCTCTGTGCCTTCCTTTGTCCTTACTACAGCCGGAGGAAGATTTGTTTCAGCTCTTTCTCTTTGCCTCCTATTGCCCCTCAGTTACAGATTTCCACTGACAGTTTAGTCCCAAATTGCGTACTGTATTTAGGAGAACATCCTGGTAGCTCACTGGAGCACCCCTGAGTTTTTTCAACATTGGAGCCTGTGCAGATTGATATCTAAGGCCCTGCAGCCAGATAAGGAGTGGTGGCTTAGAGCGGAGACTCACTGCAGATCTGAAACACGGGTGTGTGCCGGGTCCACGGTCACCACTGGGTCGCTGGAACGTGGTGTAACAGGAAGTGACTTTTAGTCATTTCTCTTTGGCCTCTTTAACAGCTGAGTCAAACACAGGGTGGGAGTGTTGATCGAGTCTCATAACTGAAATTTGATTTAAAAGTTATACCCCTTCATATTTTTCCTTTTATCTTGCAATTGAACATTAAATTCTGTGCCTTGTTCCATAGGATGCAGAAGGAAGAACCCCCATCCACGTGGCCATCAGCAGCCAACACGGCGTCATCATTCAGCTGTTGGTTTCTCACCCCGATATCCATTTGAACGTGCGAGACAGACAAGGGCTGACCCCGTTTGCCTGTGCCATGACTTTCAAGAACAACAAGTCAGCCGAGGCCATCCTCAAACGAGAGTCCGGGGCTGCTGAGCAGGTGAGTGAGGAACACCCAGCATTCTCCACATTGTCCTGGGCTCCGCGGAACCTGGAGACTAGACGGATGTCACCAACTAAACATGGCTCTTCCTGGAAAGAACTTCGGTTGAAATTGTCCTCCCTGCCCTAGAATGTGGCTGCTGAGATGTCCCATCAGTGCAGGAGGAGATCTGGCTCCTCTGCCGGTATGTCAGCGCCTGACAATGCCAGGCGGAGACGGAAGCAGAGGCAGTGGGCTCCATCGTAGGAAGTCTGTGGCGTGTACAGCCGAGCTCATTCTTTGCTTTTGCTAGGTTGGTCAACTGTCCTAGTAAGGAGTGTCTTTTAAAGAGCTTGCATTGTGATGTTGGGGCAACTTCCTGAGTGTTTTGGAGGAGTTCAGTTACTCAGCAGGCTCAGCTGTCCTTGTTCTTTGTGGTGCTTTACCAGCTGCTAAATCTGGATGGTGAACGGTTGATCTGCAACAACCAGTTGGGTGGGAAATGACAATAACAACTGGTCTGAGTGGGAGTGGGGAGGGGTCTGTCAGGCCGGTCCTGCGGGAACCTGACTCTCCAGCCAGCACCTAGAATACTGGCAGCATTTATAAATAGCCACTCATGAAGGGGAGATGCAGACTTGGGACCCAGATGAAGTGAAATCCTCGCGTGGGTGGAGATGATTGCTTGGTGTCTTAGGCTTCTGGACGCCACCTGTCTTCAGCATTTTCGCAAGTGTGACTGGGTTGTGTAGGTGGTGACCTCACATTTCTCAGGTGGTGTGAAGTGGCCCCTCCCATTTCTTCTCTCCAGTGTGAAACTGGACTGTCGATCCAAGCGCTTTGCAGATCCGCTGCTTACGGGACTGGCATGTGCTGTGGCTGTGTGGCCTGTGAAGCGGTGTGCCGTGTGTGCAGCACTGGGGTCTCGCTCACTGCCGCCGCCACACGCATGCTAAGACAGCTCTGGGAACTCCAGTCTACGGTGTGGTTGATTTCGTTGAGCTCTGCTGGGTTTCCATCAGTGGAGTGAAGCCTGTGACTTGCTGTTGGCTCCCTCCCGCATGGTGTGTAGTCTTGTAGCTCAGTAAAAGAGGAAACTGTCTCCACGTTTCTGAAGCTTTTGTTTGACTGCTCGGGTCAGGCTGGCAGTGCCGCTGGGGCATTAGGATGCTGGGCACTTGTTTTAGCCAAAGCAAAGAGACTTCCAACGCTTGTCTCCATCTTTGCCTCTCTGTGAGTATCCTGATATCTTGGCGCTTTCATTTCCCTATCCTTCAGATTGTCTTTTTCTTGGTTTTCCCCATCCAGTTCCTACTACAGGAGGCTGCCAGGGCAGCGTGGGTTACTGCAGCAGCTCCCTTCCCCTGACCATGTGGGTGTGGCTATGCACACCTGCTTCTGTGCACAGATGTGTAGAGCGGGTCTGTGGTTGGGGTTGGGGGATGGCGTTTCGTGTTCATTCTTGGGAGGGGGTTTCCTAAGACTGAGGGAAGGTCTCCATCGTGACCTCTCCAGTGGTCAGTTCAGCTTGCAGATGAAGCTCAGGAGGTACTCTTAAAAGGGAACTAATCTTTTGCTTTGCACTTGTTGCTGAAGGTGGATAACAAGGGCCGGAATTTCCTTCATGTGGCAGTTCAGAATTCTGATATTGAAAGTGTGCTGTTCTTGATAAGTGTCCACGCTAATGTAAATTCAAGAGTCCAGGATGCCTCCAAGTTGACCCCCCTGCACCTCGCTGTCCAAGCAGGCTCAGAAATGATTGTCCGCAATTTGGTAAGTGACACAGAAATACTGCGTGTAATAATACGTTGTCAAAGCATAGTGTAGAGCTTGTGCAGGATCTCATCACAGGTGCTTTGCCCGGTGTGGTGAAAGGCCAGTGTGAATTTGGGGAGCGAGGCCGGTGCACTCAGGAAGATGGTGTCAAGGGCTGCATGTCCTGAGCGCCCTGTTGGGCTGCGTGGGCTCCCAGATGCTAGATGGGGCCCTGCCGGAAAGCAGGGTTTCGACAGCAGAGGCAGGGCGGCAGCACAGAGGAAGCGGAGACCCGCTTCTGTTCTCTGTCAGGCATTCAACTGGGACTCTGAAGTGAGCTCTCTCTTAGTTTTCAAAACCACAGAGGGGTATGAGAAATGTTTTACATTTTACGAAGGAGAAAATTTAGGCCGAGAAAGAGTTTTACCCGCTAAGGCTATGGAGGCTAGTAGTGTTGGAGTTCAGCCTTGGCACTGGACTCCAAAGCCTGCTTTTTCCAGTATAACATAATACTACCTGGGCAGGGAAGGTCTCAGCCAAGATGTGGAGATCCGGAAGTGCATGTGGTGTGCTTTATGTAGGAAAATTTGGTAGCAGTTGTAGGAGAGTTGAAAGAGCTGTGGGTAGAGAGGCAGGCAGAAAACAGAACGTGGGTGTCACATTTCAGACGAGAACTGTGAGCAGCCAGTATGTCTTCAGCAGCGGAGAAACCACTGTAAGTGTCTGAGCTGACAGAACAAGGCCAGAGCTGAGCCAGGGCCTCCCCATCTGGTCTGCTCCTCAGAGCCGGCTGTCGCTGGTCCCTCCCGTCAGTCCCCGACGCATGCCGTGGAACTGGCCACCAGGGCACCTGAGCAGCCTTGCTGCCTTGGTGTAACTGTTTCTGAAGAGTACTTTTTAGAGAAGCCTTGTGACTTGATTGTGTTTGAGCTGAGGCAGCATTTGAAGGAGGCGCCTTGAGAGTGAGACACACAGGTGTGGGGCGGGCTCACCGGGGACTAGACCGTGGGGAGGCTGTGGAAGTGAGTGTGAACTGAGGAATGAGGAGAGGTGGATCTGATGATGCCGGGAACAGACTGGATGTGGGAGAAGCAGCCAGGGAGGCGGAGCTGGGTCCCAAAGTCGTAGGGAATCAGCCTCGTGTTCATCAGTCTTTATGCCTCTGTAGGGCGGAAGGAGGTCTACTGTTCCTGACCAAGGTTCCTGCCTTCCTGGGGCCCGGCATGACATGATAGGAGCGCCCAGAAACACTAGAAACAGCGGGTTTTCCAGTGTCCACGTGCTCCTTTCTCTTTGAATTGATGCTGCATCCTGTTTGAACCTGTTCATACTGAAACCCCTTCCCTACCTCTCTCCTCCCAGTTAACCAGCTGTGGGGCCAGTGATGATCCCCAACATAGCACCAGGGCCCATGAATATGCGTCTGTGAGACGCCCTGTATTGACAGTCCCATATCCACTCATATGTCTTACCGATCAGTGGTGAGACTGGGCGCCCAGAGTTCTGAGGAGGCTGGGATTTAGAAGTCAGGGTCCTAACCGAGCAGCTAACCAGCGCCTAGATTTTCCCAGAGGCAGTGCCTGTGCACGCGGAGGAACCAGGGGTGGCCTTTCACCTCAGGAGCGGCAAATTGGGTTCTGGCTACAGACTACAGGTATTTTCTGTTTACAGCAACTGTTTTTTAAACTTTTTCAGAAAGAGGATGATGAACTTCAAATACTAAATGAATAGGGCATCATGTAAAGGTCCCACTTGCTGTTTCGATTCTGTAATTCTTTGTGTCCCTTTTTTCTTTTTTTTGTTTTTTGAGACATGGTCTTGCTCTGTTGCCCAGGCTGGAGTGCAGTGACCTGATCATAGCTCACTGCAGCCTTGTCTTCCAGGCTCCATCAGTCCTCCCATCTCATCCTCCCGAGTAGCTGCGATTACAGGTGCACACCATTATTGTGCCCAGCTAATTTTTAAATTTTTTGTAGAGACGAGGTTTTACCATGTTACCTAGGTTGGTCTTGAACTTCTGGGCTCAAGCAGTCTGCCCGCCTCAGTCTCCCAAAATGCTGAGACTACAGGCCTGAGCCACTGCACCCGGCCTGCGTTCTTTCTTTGAAAAAACAGGCTGGACGCAGTGGCTTATGCCTGTAATCTCAGGACTTTGGGAGGCCAAGTTGAGAGGATCACTTGAGGCCAGGAGTTTGACACCAGTCTGGGCAACATAGCAAGACCTCGTCTCTACAGAATTTTGTTTGTTTGTTTGTTTGTTTTTACCAGGTATAGGGTCACATGCCTGTGGTCCTAGCTACTCAGGGGGCTGAGGTGGGACGATCATCTAAGCTCAGGCGTTCAAGGCTGCAGTGAGCTATGATGGTACCACTGCACTCCAGCCTGGGTGACAGAGCAAGTTGCTGTCTGAAGAAATAATAAACAGAAAACAGTAGTGAAATAGTGCATACTCACTGTGGAAAAACTCCAAGCATGGAAGGAGATGAAACAGAGCGTGTCTCCCTTTGACCCCAGCTCTTCCGAGTGTGGCGTTTATGCTCTGAAACACCTTCCAAGTGCCCGTGTGCGTGCATGCTTGTGTGTACACAGAGCTCTGTCTTCCCCAGATGGAATCGTACTGTCTTCTAAATTGCGAGGCTTTTTAAACATACTTGTTATCAACATCTTTCCATGTTAATCGATAAATATTTATCATCTTACTCTATTGTTTGTATCTATTACAATTTTTACAACCAAACCCCTTTGCCATCAGGCTTTCCTATTACAAGCAGTAGACACCCTTACATAGTACAGTGAACATCACTGCAGTCTTGCACAGTTTTTGTATACGAAAGCCTTAGAAGTGGAGTTTCTGTGTTCCAAGGAATGGCTGGTTAACGTTTTGATAGGTAATTGCCAAGTTGCCCTTGGCACAGGTTTTGCTGGTTTCTGCTTCAGCAGGGGTATGTGTGAAGCCCTGATGCTCCCAGCTCTGTCAGCAGGGCAGGCCATCAGCCTCTGTGGGTGTCAGGAGACAAGCAGACTTGGCCCCCACAAGGGGGATCTTGATTGTGGCAGAGAGACTGACTGTTCATGTAATGAACTTCAACAGCTTCTTGCAGGAGCCAAAGTGAATGAATTAACCAAGCATCGCCAGACTGCCCTTCATCTTGCTGCCCAGCAGGACCTGCCCACCATCTGCTCAGTCCTCCTGGAGAATGGCGTGGACTTTGCTGCCGTGGATGAGAATGGAAACAATGGTAACTCCCAGTCATTCCGTAGTGGCTTGAACTATCCCTCCATTCTAGGGGTGGGTGCAGTGCACCCTTGGGTCTGCTCCCCCTGGGAAGCTTGGCTTCTGCAGGAGAAAGCTGTGACAGGAAGTGCTCTGCGTAGGGCATCCAGCCTGTGACTGCCCAGGCCTTGGGCAGCCTCCCCGTCTGAGCCCTGGAAGCCTGCACTGCCTCCTTGGGAAACTATTAAATCTCACCTTTGGGTAACTGCTGAAGCAGAAAGCACAGCACAGAGCAGGCGTGAGACTGCGTTTGTGACGCATCCTTGAGGGTGGTGAAGACCAGAAAGGGTGGCTGTGTGTGGCCGGTCGCTGCTGTGGCCAGGTCCTGTTTACAGAGAGGTCTGTGCGGTGCGGGGAGTGGGGAGTTTTCTGCCTGTGCTTCTGGGCTTGCACAGTAAGAGGATTTACTTCCCAGCTCTCCATCTTGCTGTCATGCACGGCCGGCTCAACAACATCCGGGTTCTCCTGACAGAGTGCACAGTGGACGCCGAAGCCTTTAATCTCAGGTGAGTGTGCTGGGCCCGCACAGGCCCCACGGCGCCTGGCCTGCTGCTCAGAGTTGCTGGTGCCTCCCGTCAGCCCCGGGGAGGGGCTGCAAAACTGGCCACTAGGGCCCCTCACCAGCTTCGGGTACTTTATTTTGGTACTTTTGGTACTGGTATTTTGTTTTAATAAAAAATGCTTCTTAAAAAAACTTTTGGCCGGGCGCAGTGACTCACACCTGTAATCCCAGCACTTTGGGAGGCCAAGGCGGGCGGATCACAAGGTCAGGAAATCGAGACCATCCTGGCTAACACGGTGAAACCCCGTCTCTACCGAAAGTACAAAAACTAGCCGGGCGTGGTGGCGGCGCCTGTAGTCCCAGCTACTCGGGAGGCTGAGGCAGGAGAATGGCGTGAACCCGGGAGGCGGAGCTTCAGTGAGCTGAGATCTGGCCACTGCACTCCAGCCTGGGTGACAAAACGAGACCCCGTCTCAAAAAAAAAAAAAACTTTTGTTACGCATGCACTTAGGTTACAGTAAAATACAAAATAAGAAAAAGAAAGACTTTGTAGAACCTCCTTTTCCTTACCTGTTTTTCAGGCGTCACAAAACCAGGGCATCACACATAGGCCTGCTTCCTCATCTGATGGTGGGAAGAATAACCCTTATCTTATTGTATGATTTTCAGAGTTAAATTTAAGGAACCCAGTAAACCCAGCATGTCTTTTAGATGTATCCACCGTCACAGAGTTCAGAAAATTCTGTTTATTTTGTGTGTGATGGCCCTGGCAGATACGTTCCTAACTTTTCCAACTTGTTGTATCAGAGGCCAGTCACCACTGCACATTTTGGGACAATACGGCAAGGAGAACGCGGCGGCCATCTTTGATCTCTTCTTAGAATGCATGCCGGAGTACCCTCTGGACAAGCCGGACGCAGACGGCAGCACGGGTACGTAGCAAGGCCGCGCCCCGCTTCCGGGAAAAGCAAGAGCCCAGGCACACGTCGTTATCTGAGAGCATTCAGCTCGCAGAACAGTTCTGTTGGGCCCTCTGAGTGTGAGTTACAGAGCCCTGTTGTGGAGTCTGGGGTGTCTGGTTTTAGACACCGTCACATCTCACGGAGTCTGGGGTGTCTGATTTTAATCACCGTCACGTCTCACGGAGTCTGGGGTGTCTGGTTTTAGTCACTGTCACATCTCGGAGTCTGGGGATCTGATTTTAGACACCGTCACATCTCAAGTGCATCGAGCGCTCTGAAACCATCCATACCCTTCTCCAAACAGGCCTGCCCACCTGTTTTTGTTTCCCTCATTTGCCTTTTGTCCAAATAGGGCCCTACCCAAGCTCCCAAATTCCAGCAGAGAAAGAAAGTATAAGCATCTCACAGGATCTTCAAAAGGAAGAGATGCGCTCGAGTGTGTGTTGGCATGCTTTGAGAAAGTGGCAGACTGCCCAGAAACACGGGGCGCCTTCTTATGCCGAGGCTCCAGGCCTCTCCCGGCTGCTCTGGGTCCCCGTGGTCACTGGTCACCCGTGTGTCCTAGCTTTTCTGATGATTCTTGCGTTCGTTTTCTTGCCGAGGACTCGCGGCAGCCCTGTGAGGGAAGCAGTGCACATAGGTGTATCCCCGTTTTTCGGGTAAGGAAAAGTAACCCCATGAAACAAAACCAGATCTCTCATCCCAGCCCAGAGCCCTCCGCGCAGCTGTGTGGCTGCTGCATTCCCATTCACTCACCCGTTCTAGAGAGAGCGCCTCTGTGGTCTTGGCAGAAATGGAGTCACCATGGGGTTGTCTGAACCTTAACATGGGACCGCATCCTTTCTCACCGTTTTCTCTTGGTCTTGAGAGGAGTTGGTGGCCTTGCTACGTGAGCATTGTTGTTTAAGCTTCAGAGGAGTCAGCCCCTGGGGGTGGAGTGAGCAGCACAGACTCAGCACACCTTGCCCGGGAGCAGGTAAACAGGAACAGGCAGCAGGGAGGGGCTCCGTGTCTAGGCCCCCGGTTTACAGAGACCTGGGTGCAGATGCCTAGCCCTGTCCTAGCCCTGTCGCATTCTAGCAGGGTGACTGGGTGCATCCTCCCTCATAGGCCTGCTTCCTCATTTGATAGTGGGAAAAATAACCCCCATGTTATTGTACGATTTTCAGAGTTGAACTTAAGGAACCCAGTAAACCCAGCGTCTGGGAAAGGGCAGCAAAAGGGAGCCGCAGTGAGCTGTAATTGTTTGTAGGGAAGGCCAGCAGGTTGGCCTGGCCAGAGTGTGGGTTCCCACGGGCTCCACGGGGTGGAAGAACTTTCTGGAACATGTTCCTAATACTGATTTTTCTTCTCCATGTGTACACAACTCATAGGTTTAGATTTAGTTACATTGGGTGAAAAGAGCTTTGATGTTTGTGGAGAAACCAGTGTTTCATGCCAGAGGAAGGCACCTGAGACCACAGTAATGACTCCCTCCGTGGTGAACCCCTCACCACCTGTGCGACCTTAGCGCTCTTGCAGCCAAAGCTCCACGCGGGAAAGACTGCGTCTCGGAAACCGCAGCTGCTCTAGAATTCTTTGGCTCGTGGCCACATCCTTTATTGGAAGATGCTACAGGTTGTCCACAGAGGTCTCTCCAGAGCCTCGGGGCCCCTGTGTGTCTGTGGGGACTTCGTGAACAGACGTCCTGCCAGCAGTCTGTTCTGCCCTCGGCTGTCTTCCGCCCTCCGTGTGTGGGTGCCAGGCTGGGCCGGGTGGGAAGGAGCCCTGTGTGTGCTTTTGTTTTCCAGTGCTGCTCTTGGCATACATGAAAGGGAATGCCAACTTGTGCCGCGCCATCGTCCGGTCGGGGGCTCGCCTCGGGGTGAATAACAACCAGGGAGTCAACATTTTCAACTACCAGGTCGCCACCAAGCAGCTTCTGTTTAGACTTTTAGGTGAGTGGCCTGCTTTCTGCTCTTACAGTGCAAGCAGCGTCTCAGTGTTACCATCGCAATGTATTGTACTGGCGATCTTCCAATCTCATGGCGCCTTACGATCGGAACTGCTCGTCTCCAGGCAGTAGCTGCGACTGTCTCTCTGAATAAGTGAAGGACTTTTGAGCAGTGTTGGGAAGGTCGCTGTGAACAGTCTTTTCACAGCACTGTGCCTTGTTCATTTCCCACGTCCCACAACCTTCTGGAAATGCCCCAGCAGGCCACCCTTCCTGTGTCTCATGGCCACTTATCTGCACACCTGTCCTCTTGAGACTGATCCAGATCTCTAGAACCTTCAGAATGGCCCACGACTCCAGCCCCTGTCAGCTCTCCCTCCCCTGCGTCCCTTTTGTGGAAAGGAGTGCTTCCCTCTTGATTTCATATTTGTGAATCTTTTCTGTTCCCTGCCGAGGTGACGGAATCAGAATGCCTCGAGTGCCTGTGCTGTGTCATCACCCACAGTGGGGAGAGACAGACAGGAAAACAAGCTCAGACCCCTGGTAGCCATGTGATGGCGACGCACAGGACCCGCCCGGGGGCACAGCTGGTCTGTGGCAGAGCCAGCTTGAAGGGCAGCGTTTGTGACACCTGGTCCACTGCAACTTCCCTCTGCCATGCACTTAGCCTTTTAAAAGCTCAGCACTGGTGCCCATCACAGGGCCGGCGACCCACACACATCCCAGTACTCAGAAGGGACTGGCGGATTCACATGCTGCTCCCTCCCCGTGAGCTCAGCGGACCTCTCTGTGTAGAGCGGTCAGTGCCTGGCTAGAGTGAGAGTTCAGCCAGTAAACCCAAGCGATGGTCATTCCTGTCTGCACTGGTAACTCCTCACCTAGATCTGAAAACTTGGTTCTTTCTTGTAGGTTGCTCTGCCCGTGGCCCCGCCGCAGACTCAGGCCCTCTCTCCAGAGGCCTGGAAATCACCTGTGTCTTCTGCCTGCTCCTTCCCACATCCCACACTGTGTTCAGTCACTGAGTCTTACAGATTCTGCCTCCTCGATTTCTCTTGTCTTAGTCCCATCCTCTGTTCCCCTGGCCAGTTTTTCTAGCTGTGTGGTCTCTGTTCCCTCCCTACCGTGCCTTCCGTCCCAGTCATCCCTGACTACGTGTTTCCCCCACAGACATCCCCGCTGGTCCACCGCGTTGACCACTGTTTCCTTCTCCCCAAGTCTCCCGGGCAAGGGCTGATCCTCCAGTCTCCTCTGGGAAGCTGGCCCTGAGCCACTTAGAAGCTGTTGCTCCTTCGTCACCTATGTCATGTGGCAGTGGGTGGCCGCACTTCCTGGTCTGTTTGCCTGCTCCCTCTAAGCCCTGGGGCTTGCCTGGCGCAGTTGCTGTTTGACGGGACTAGTCCTCTCCCCTTCGTGTTACAGATATGCTGTCCAAGGAGCCTCCGTGGTGCGACGGCTCCTACTGCTATGAGTGCACTGCCAAGTTTGGAGTCACAACTCGCAAACATCACTGGTAAGACCCCAGCGTCACCGTCACAGCAGCGAGGGGACTTCGCTGATGCCATTGCTTCCCCCCTTCTCCAGGATAGGCCGTGAACTTGCCCGGGTCCTGCACATTCATGGGCAAAACTTGGCCAAATGGAGGGATGAGATGAGCACACCCAAGGATCTTACGGAGGAAGAGAGATGTAGGGAAGGCAGGGAGCCTGCAGACTGGTGGCGTTCCTGCTGGAAGCTGACGGTGCACAGTTCCCAGGCAGCCTGCCTGTCCTCCCTGACTTGCTGCCTGCAGCAAAGCTGAGATGAGCTACTGCCCTCATGGTGTGCCTCAGTATGGGGCGCTTTGCCAAGAACTAAGGAACTGTTCCCATTAAGATGAGATAGATAGGCCAGGTGTGGTGGCTCATGCCTGTAATCCCAGCACTTTGGGAGGCAGAGGCGGGCGGATCACTCGAGGGCAGGAGTTTGAGACCAGCCTGGCCAACATGGCGAAACCCCATCTCTACTAAAAATACAAAAATTAGCCGGGGGTTGTGGCGGGCACCTGTAATCCCAGCTGCTTGGGAGGCTGAGGCAAGAGGTTGCAGTGAGCCGAGATCATGCCACTACACTCCAGCATGGGCGACAGAGCGAGACATCATCTCAAAAAAGAAAAAAAGAGAAAAAAAAGATAGTGCTGAGCTGCTCTCTTTTTGTTTTTGAGACAGTCTTGCTCTGTTACCCAGGTTGGAGTACAGTGACATGAGCTCGGCTCACTGCAATCTCCACTTCCCGAGTTCAAGCAATTCTCATTCCTCAGCCCCGAGTAGCTGGGATTCAGGCATGCGCCACCACGCCCGGCTAATTTTTGTATTTTTAGTAGAGACGGGGTTTCACCATGTTGGCCAGGCTGATCTTGAAACTCCTGACCTCGAGTGATGCGCCCGCCTCGGCCTCCCAAAGTGCTGGGATGACAGGTGTGAGCCACCACGCCCGGCCCGAGCTGCTCTTGATCTTCAAAAAAAAAAAAAAGCCGCCTTCAGTATTGCTTTAACTTAATGATTGACTAGAGTTTTGTTTTCATAGACTAAAAATTCTACATGAATTATGGTAACCTGGCTGGCAGTCGGCAGAGTTGCCAGAGTAGCATCGCGGGCGCCTTGTCTGCCAGGCCCTGCTGCGGTTGTCCTCACTTGCCAGGAAGCAGAGTCTGTCGTCAGTGCTCCTCTCATACTTCCTTTCTTTGCTTCCACAGTCGTCACTGCGGACGTCTTCTTTGCCATAAATGCTCGACCAAGGAGATTCCTATTATAAAGTTCGATCTGAACAAGCCTGTACGAGTTTGCAACATTTGTTTTGATGTACTGACTCTGGGTGGGGTCTCTTAGTGAGCCCCCCGGGGGGCCCAGGCCACATCCTTGGTCACCTCCCCAGCAGCTGCTCTGCTCACCAGCCTGACCCCACCCAGAGCAGGAGCTGGCGCGTGTCTTCCTGCGGCAATAGACCGGAACAATTAAGGACCATGGTGTGATAGATCCCATTTCAAATGATTCCATATGATTGTCTGTGTGTGTGTCAGACTGTGATCGATTTCACTCGATGTCTCACTAATCGGACCAGGCCATTTGGCCTAAGTGGTAAATGTGAGTAGGAATTAGACCCCTCCCCATTCTGCTAGCAACATACAAGGACACTTGGAAACCAGTTTTCCCTTCCAGTAGCTTGGTGTCCGTCCCAGAGCATTCATGAAGTCTTCCCGCTGGGCTGACTGATGGGGCAGAGCCTCACGGTGTAGGAAGCTGGCTAATGAGCTGGCTTTACTCTAGGGTAAGTGGCTGTGGACTTTTCTGTACAGTGTTTTCATAAAGATAATAGGATCCTCTTGCCCTGAAGTCTTTTTTTCTTTTTAAGCTAAGCTGTATTTTTAGTGAGCTACCCCTTTTAAAAAGGTGAAATCTTTATTCTTAACAGGGTTCAAAGATGAGAGCTGAAAACTCGTGGCCTTAACAACTGAAAGCTTTACAGTGTTCACGCTACTGAGGTGTCAGGAGTGCAGCGGGGCCGCCTGGCGCCTCGTAGCAGCCGTCTCTTTCTCTCGTCTTGCTGCGTCCTGTCTGTGGAGTCCTCAGTCACTCTGCCGCTGGAGAGTGCTGGAGGAAATGCACTTTTATTGTGCTGCACTTTTTATAGAGCTGCATTATTGGTGATCCCAATTTAAAAATCCATATTCAGAAATACCCTCACGCATTCTTGCATCAGTGATTCTAATGCTCAGCGGTGACTGGGCCTCCGCTCACACGGTCTCCCAGGAAAAACTCTACAGAGCATCTTTTAAAGCAAGAGATTCACACAGGCCAAGTGATGAGAGGTGGAGTCACTAAGGCTTCAGCCCCAAGGGCATCTCCAGCCTCAGGCCAGCAGGTCCTATGTCCTTGACACAAACGCTTCTTGCTGAAATCCTCCCTAGTGATGCTGCGAGTGCTGTTGGTCCCAGTTCTATGTAGCTTGCCCTGCCCCACGAAGGGCCACCAGCCGAGGGCCCTGGCCACCTGTGCACCACCTTATTTTGGAAGTCTCTGGCTTGTGTGCTGGATGAGGCCGCCAGAACTTGTTGGGCCGGCGTCGCTGCTAGTACATATATGAACCATGAGGTGTTAAACTTTTCTTTTGAAGGTTTGGCCAGTTTCTAAAAAATGCACATTTAAAGAGAAGCATCTACCACTGCTTTAAAACAAAACAACTCTGAGATGAACAATATGTGTTATACTCAGAGATTAACAATCTCAATCATACATACTGATTCTTTTAGACATTTAATAACCACTACATTTTTTTTTGCATTAATGAAGTTTGAATATATGTGTAAAGGGACTAAATATTTTTGCAACAGCCTGTTTTTTGTTCATTCTTTTCTGGATAGTGTGTCCTCTGTGTTGCGGTAGATTTATACATTCTGTTGCCTAAATGTGTGTGTAAAATGAACTGATAAACTGGAGTACTACTTTAAAAAAGAGCTTCTGTGATTTATAAGATATATATGCTTTCTATGTTAATATAAGCTTGTGCACAATGTTTAAAACAATTAATTAGAAGCATTCCCATCTCCCAGTCTGACATGTTTCATACAGAATTTTTAATAGAAAAGCTCTGCTAGTCTTGGCAGACATTTGGCCATGTGAGGCATGTGGTCAGTTTCTATTTTCTGTTACCTGAAAAGGGCCATAAGGAAGCAGGCAGGGCTTAGGTAGCTTGGTTACCTGAGTTAGAAAGCAAGAGAATCATGGTTCGGGTATGAATTGAAGTGGTTGGCACATGGATACCTGTTCTTGAAAAAGAACGTGGGAGATGAGTCAAGGGTGAAGCCGATTGTTCTACGCATGCCCTGCCACACCAATCTCAATAACAGTCTCGCCTGTCATTGCACTTAGAATCTGAAGATCATGTTTAAAATATGTTGATTCGAGCTTCTGTTTCTTAGCCTGAGTCCCAGGACAGCAGTGGTACTGACCAGCTATGGACTGGGAGAACATTGAGTCCTGCTATCCATTGGCTGCAGGGTGCATTCATGTGGATACAGGAAAAGCCTCTTTCCACAGACTTAGGAGGTCCCCCGACCACGCAGGCTGCACTCAGCTGGGCTGCACTCAGCAGGCTCCTTGAGTGGGAACCGTCCCAGTGGACTCCAACATGCACTGCCCTGGCTGGGACTAGGCATGCTTCCAGCCCTTCCCGTGCTCTCCCTGCTGTCAACACTTGAGTACAAAGCTGCCTAGCTGTGGGTAAGTTTTCATCAGTCGCTTAAGTACTAGTAGCGAAAACTGAAATTCATTCAGAAAGTTGCCACTTCTGAGTGAGCAGAGCAGGAAAAATAAACTTTTACTGAAACATAATTTGCTGCAACAGTCAACGTTGTTATGCTGAATTTGCTCTGAGCTGCCCTTTGCTCATCGCCAGATTTATTATTCAGTGTATTCTTAACAGTCTTTTGTTGTCGTTGTTTTTAAAACAAAGGTACGGACCACGTGCTATATATAAATCGAATGGCTTAAACTAATTTGCTGTGATCCTCTAACACCGAAATTTCCCGTAAACTTAAGTGCCTACACTTAGGACTTTTGACTTTCAGTCATCTTTTTCGTGGTGTCTCACTAACATGTTAGAACACGTTCTGTTTGGAGTTTTGGGCCTGTGCACTGTCAACCCCAATGACCGATTTAGTTGAGGCTGGATTCGACTGCTCAGTTCACCTGCCACGTTCTCTCCAAGGAGTGGGGTCTACGTGGCCTTCAGTCCTCTACCTCAGAGCCCCGAGTCATTTCTGACAACCCCGTTCCGCGTCCTCACTCTTGTCCCTGAACGGGTCCCTGTGTGGATCTGTGTGTGTGTGTGGTTTCTCCGCTCCCCCCCTCGTGTCCCACACCTGCCGTAATGAACCGTTTCTGCACTGATCTTGTCCATGGGTATGGAGTGGAGGGAAGGTCTTGGGAAAGGGGAGAGCCTTGACTTCCATCTAGGTTTCTTTTATCTGGAGAAAAAGAACATTTTTTAACTATGTAATGCTTAGCCCTGAAAGGCAAGCTAACTTCCCAGGTGACAGCAGCAGCAACAAGTAAGGGTAATGCTTCCATGACAGACACTTGCTTCCCTTGGGACAAGTCCCAGAAGAACTATCTGAAGCACCAAAGCTCCCCAGCCCAGCCTGGTGGCAGAGGAAGGAGGCGGCACCAACTTGCCAAAGGGAATTGGGAGCTCCCTTCTCACTCTGGAAGTAATTTAGTGAAGAGCTGACTGACAAGATAAAAACCCTGAAATTCCCAGAAGTTACAGATGCCTTAAAGACTTTCTTTGGAAGATCATTGCCTGTACAATTCCTTTTCTGTGTGGCATAAATAATATATTAACCTGTTACAACTGACAACATTGGTTTCCTGCAGCTAGGGAGTCTTGAGTTGAGACTGCTGGCCTTGATGACTTGCCCTTTTTGGCAGACGTGCGGAGGTGGCTGTTACAACATCGCTGCGTGACCTCAGAGGAGGGGCGGTAGCTGGGCAGAAACTGAGGCACACATGTGGGTTGGTGCCCTGGCTTCCAACCCATTCGGGGCGGTGCTCAGTGTGGGGTGATGGGATCACAGAGGACCATGGCGCTTATCAGAATTGTTTCTTTGGAGTCTGTGTAATGGAATGTATTTTTCAAATACTGATATTTGCATTTTCTGTAACAATTCCTTATAATAAAATGAAGTAAAATTGTGCATTTAAAGTGGAAACTTTAATAAGACATTTGTAGTTATTTCTAATGCAGAAATACCAATAAGCATTAAAAACAAATTGTAGAAAACTCCTGACATGTGAATAAATTTCTTGACCAGCTGTCCTCCAGGAAAGTTTGAATTCCAACAATATTTTTCAGGAACATGCTGTTGACAGCAGTAAAAGTAGCTATTTTATGTATTTATTTTTAATTTTTAAAAATTTCAGTAGGTTTTTGGGGTTCAGGTGGTATTTGGTTACACGAAGTTCTTTAGTGGTGATTTCTGGGATTTGGGGGCACCCATCAGCCAAGCAGTGTACAGTGGACTCTTACCCCTCACCCCCAACCCTTTCTACTGAGTCCCCAAAGTCCACTGTATCATTCTTACACCTTTACGTCCTCATAGCTTAGCTCCCGAAAAGTGTAGTTATTTTAAACATAGTAGCTGCTTACTTAACTCACTGTGCCTATGCTCTTGGCCCAGATTTCAGCTCATGGCACCGAGCGTGATCACTGAGGCAGTCTCAATCACCGTCGCCTGACCCCTCTGAAGTTCCCAAGAGGATCCACTCATGATGAGCTTTCTGCTGGCCAAGGCGTGAAGGGCAACTGGCACTGTGGGCTTCAGAGAATACTAAGGACGGTTTCAGGGCTTGCAAATTGAAATCTAGTGATCCATAAAGTCCCTGTACAAATCGTTACCAATCAAGCAGCTCCCATGGCCCTCACGCTTTCCTGAGCTAATACAGTCCCTTTTCCTGTCTTCCATTTTGCTTACCCCTAGGTCAGACTAGCTGTGGTGATAGAGCTCATAAAGCTCATTCTCCAGTGGCTTTTCTCATCGTTGTCATAGGCACTGTTAAGTGTTTCCACATGACAATCCCAAGTAATCCTCACCGCTATCCTTAAGGTGAACAGTGCTAACCACGCTGTCACTGGTTATAAGTGAAGCACAAATAGTAACCAGGAACACAGCAACTTCCACACGTTTACCCAGCCAGAGAAGAGCACTGGGTTTTAGTTCTGGTTTTTCATTGACTAGCTGAGAGTTCTGGGCAAGTTTCCTAACTTCTTTGCCTCTGTTTCCCTACCTACATAATGGGGGTGGACTGTAGTCCTTAACTCACAGGGTTGCCTGGAGGAAGGAGATCAGTAATGTGCCCTTCTCATCCAAGTACCCAGCTTCTGGTGTGTGCACGGCAGGGCTCTTCTGGCAAGGGCTACGGCGGTATCTGCTGCCCCAGAAGAAATCGGGGGCTCTGGCAAAGGCTACGGCGGTATCTGCTGCCCGGAAGAAACCAGGGGCTCTGGCAGTAGGAAATGCTCTCAAGGGTAGGGTCCAGCCTAGGGTCGCTGCCCTTCTCTGAGGGGCACCCGCAGACTTCTGAGCAAGCACAGTCCGAACCTCCCCATTGGGGCTGGCTTTCAGAGCACAGCTATGCCTGGAGCAAAGCAGGTGTGGGGGCGGGGTGGGATCACTGGCTGAGCTGGGACCAAAAAACCTCAGACTCTTCACTCTTAGATGTTTATAGAAAACTGTAATCTCCAAATGAAAAGGCAGACGTTGAAACCTCCTTCAAGGTGAGCTCTTTATTTTTGGGTTTTGTTTGTTTTGGGACAGAGTCTCTCTCTCGTCACCCAGGCTGGAGCGCAGTGGTGTGATCTCGGCTCACTGCAGCCTCCGCCTCCCCAGTAGCTAGGACTGCAGCCGCACACCACCACACCTAACTAATTTTTGTATTTTAGTAGAGATGAGGTTTCACCATGTTGGCCAGGCTGGCCTCCATCGAACTTCTGGCCTCAAGAAATCCACCCACCTTGGGCTCCCGAAGTGCTGGGACTGTAGGTGCCCCGGCCTCCTTCACAGTGTTGGAGTGGAGTGTAGCTGCAAAGGCTTTGCCTTAACACCATGCTCACTGGTGTGGCAGAGATCAGACTCACATCGCAAAGCCCAGCTCTGTCACACGATGCTGATGTAACCATTAGAAGAGGTGGGGAGATATTCATGCCCCTTTTCTGGGCCATAAAATGGGAACTTCTCGAGGCAGGCATAGAGATTAAATGAGAACAAGGCCTGGCCCAGCAGAGTTGCGCAATACGGACGAGTTTTCTCCTTCCCTTCCGCCAGCAAGTCTGACTGCATGCTGAGCCTGAGCTGAGCTTATCTGTGGCTTCCATCAAGGCCTTGCCCTTCCTCCCCCATGCTTTTGCCCAGGGCCACCTGTACTTGAGAGGGAAAGGCGAGGCATTTCTCCAGTAATTACAGCTTCTCACAGCTGAGCCCTTCAGGCCATTAAAATGACAACCGATTCTTGCCGAACCTAATTCTTTGCTGAATCCTTTGCCCTGACGTGAGAGATGTGTTAGCAGGTTAAGTAGGAAGGTAATTACCATAAGGTAAGTATCAAAAAGGAAATGAATTCTCACTGCGCAAGGAACTCAGCAGGCTCCGAAGCCAGCCAAGTCTGTCCCGGAGCCTGTGCGCGGGAGGCTTGCATCAGTCAGAGACCACGCACCCTCCAGGCACGGCCAGAGCCCGCAGCTGGCTGCAATGAGGAATGCTCCTTTTCGTTTGTTTGTTTTTTGAAGGATGGAGAACATCTTGGGGCCTGGTCCTCACACTCTCCCTGCATTCCTGCCACAAGGACGGCCTCTGGCCGCTCTGTGGGGTTTCTTCCACCATACGACAAGCCCGCTGAGGTCAGAAGCCTTGCTGCCCCAACCCCCAGCCCTGACATGATGCCTGGCACATAGTGGGTGCTTGGTAAGTTATTTGCTGAATGACTAAGGAGGACTAAATCAGGGGCACTAACTATTTTTCAGTTCGCCTGGGGTTGGGGGCTGTTTCTGGGTAACAGAGAAGTCTCAGCACTGAGCTCAGGGACTGCCTAGAACTCGGAAGAAAATCCTAATTTCAGCTCTTCTCCTTTCTGTCTGCTCCTGGTCCTGCCCCAGGGAGGGCCAAACATACAGAAATATGGAGGAGTGAAAATGACACCGAATCAGGCATCCAGAGCTTTGCGTTCTAGGCTCAGCTCCACGCTCAGTGACTTCAGTTCTATGTGCCTTTGTTGCCTTATCTCCAAAAAGCGCGGTGGCTCACGCCTGTCATCCCAGCACTTTGGGAGGCCAAGGTGGGCAGATTGCTTGAGCCCGGGAGTTCGAGACCAGCCTGGGCAACATGGTGAAACCCCATCTCTACAAAAATAAAAAACTAGCCAGGTGTGCTGGTACATGCCCATAGTCCCAGCTACTTGGGAGGCCAAAGTGGGAGAATCTTTTTGAGCCCGGGAGTTCAAGGCTGCAGTGAGCTATGATCACGTCACTGCACTCCAGCCTGGGCAACAGAGTAAGACTCTGTCTCAAAAAAAAAAGACCTCTGCACGCACTTCCCACATGTTAGGCGTGGTGGATATAGGGGCACAACACTGAGTAAAGTGGATTATAGGGGTATGGCGCTGAGCCATGTGGATATAGGGGTATGGAGCTGAGTCATGTGGATATAGGGGTATGGTGCTGAGCAAAGTGGATATAGGGGTATGGAGCTGAGCAAAGTGGATATAGGGGTATGGCGCTGAGTCATGTGGATATAGGGGTATGGCGCTGAGTAAAGTGGATTATAGGGGTCTGGCGCTGAGTCATGTGGATATAGGGGTACGGAGCTGAGTCACACTGGGGCTCTGTCCTCAGAGTGTCTGGTCCAGTGCAAGAGGCTGATAGGAAGTTCATGGTAAGAGCCCACTGTGATATGAGCACAGTGCCATGGGAACCAAGGAAAGTGCCTCTGTATCTCACTGCTGGCCCAACAGTTACTGAAGGCTTCCAAGAAGGGCCTGATTGAGCTGAATACTGAAGCAATACGGGGTGAATTAATTCAACAGAGGAAAAAGTGTCATTCCAGGCAAAAGAAACAGCCTGTGTGAAAGCACTGCAGACATACCGCAGTGAGAGGGAGGCTGGAAAGAAGGTGCACATGGGAGGAGATGGGAAAGGCACAGGTCTAAAAGGAGAGAGGCCACAGAAGGGCCTCGTGTGGCACGCAGCAGAGGAGCTGGCACTCAGTCCTTATAGATAAGGGGAGCCCCTGAGGAGGCTTAAATGGGACATGCCTTGATCATTATTAATAATGAAAGACAGCTCGGCCAGGTGCGGTGGCTCACGCGTGTAATCCCGGCACTTTGGGAGGACGCGGTGGGCGGATCACGAGGTCAGGAGTTCAAGACCAGCCTGACCAACATAGTGAAACCCCATCTCTACTAAAAATACAAAAATTAGCTGGGTGTGGTGGCGCATGCCTGTAATCCCAGCTACTTGGGAGGCTGAGGCAGAAGAATTGCTTGAACCCAGGAGGCGGAGGTTGCAGTGAGCTGAGATCTTGCCACTGCGCTCCACCCTGGGCAAAAGAGCAATACTCCATCTCAAAAAAAAAAGAAAGACAGACGGCTCCCAGCAGTGCGGAGGAGGGATTGAAGGGAGGGAGTACAGTTAGGCTCCTTCGGCAATCCAAGTGAGAAATGACAGCCTAGGCCAGAGACGGAGTACTGGGGACAGGTAAGAGGGAAGGGAAAGGAGAGAACCAGGGAGGCGGAGCTCCTGGGACCTGCAGGTGGGTTAGGAGGGAAGGAGGACAGAGTGTGGATGACTGCTTGGATTCTGACTCTGTGGGAAGCTGGTGGGCCATTCACTTGGAGAACTAGAAGCAGCACGGGAAAGGGAAGATGAAACGCTCTGGAAAGCTGCCTGGAGTAGAGGTGCAGGTTTGATGGTCTAAGTAACTGCCAGATTTGGAGTGAGAGGAGCCAATGGGAAGGGGTTTGTGGAAGCAAAACAGGGTTCTCAAGGCAATGAAGAAGGAATGCGCAGAGGGAGAAAGGGAAGCAGGACGAAGCCCAGCGAGGGTTTCATGGAGGACCCCACAGTCCAGTGTCCAGTGTGATGAAGCTCAGGTAAGAACTGGCTGTGACCATGGAATGTGCCAGTGCAGAATTTGTGCTGGTTGTTGGAGCACACGGGGCTGAAAAGCAAAGCTAGTAAGTACAAGCCACAGCTGTGGCGCTGAGGGGGTTACATGAGAGAAGTGAGCCGTT